TGTCGGCAATTCAGGAGATGCCTTACCCGAAGTCCATGAAGGAAGTAAGAGCCTTCCTTGGCACTGCTGGGTGGTGTCGACGGGTTGTGAGGAACTTCGCCACGCTGGCTGCACCGCTCTCCGAAGCCTTAAAGAAGACGGGAAACACCAGGTTTTCGTTGAATCCCAGCGCCACACAAGCAGTAGATGACCTAAAGCTGGCCTTACCGAGCGCGCCGGTCCTGGTTCATGCGGACTTCAAGAAACATCTCACGTTGGCGTCGGTGCAGTATTGTTTCAGCGGGACCAGGACAGAGATGAGCAACCCATCGCGTTCTTCTCGTCCAAGATGAACAAGTACCAGGTGAACTACTCGGTCACGGAGAAGGAGTGTCTGGCATCCATCCTGGCCATTCAAAAGTTCAGACCTTATGTGGAAGGGATGCCGTTCACATGCATAACCGATCACGCCAGCCTGAAGTGGTTGATGACGATGAAGGATCTGTCAGGACGACTCGCGAGATGGTCTCTCCAGCTGCAGGGTTACGATTTCGACATTGAGCATCGAAAAGGCAGCGAGAACGTAGTTGCCGATACTCTATCCCGCTGCATCGTGGAAGTCCTCATAGATCCGACGGAGTTATTGGGATTCGAGACGACCGAGTTTGCTGCAGAGAATTATTTGGAATTAGTGCAAGATGTAGAGTCCAACAGGAAGAACTTACCAGACCTCAAAGTGGACGGAAAACTGATCTTCAAGCGCTTGGGTAATCCGAATCTGGATGATGAACTGGAAGGATCCGAGTGGAAGCTGTGGATTCCGCAGAGCCTAACGCACAGCTTGATAGAGCGTGCCCATTCGGACCCCAAGGCTGGCCATGGTGGAATGGCGAAGACGTTGGAGACCATACGACGCCAGTTCTATTGGCCAGGGATGACTATCCAGGTGCGTGAATACGTCCGGGCTTGCGAGGTGTGCAAGGATTCCAAAGCGCCTAACTTCAGGATGCAGGGGGGAATTGGAAAAAGGGTAGAGACGGAAAAGCCATTCCAGAAGCTATATATCGATTTCCTGGGCAAGTATCCGAGGTCCAAGAGTGGTCAAGCGTGGATTTTCATCGTGGTGGACCATTTCTCCAAGTACACCTCCCTAAAGGCCATGAAGGATGCGACGGCGTCAAACGTGGTGACCTTCCTGGTGAATGAAGTGTTTACAAGTTTTACAGTTCACATCCAAGGCGTTTGAGGAGTTGATAGATGGCTTCGGTATCCAGCACATCAAGACTCCGAAATACTCACCCCAGAGCAATGCAGCGGAACGGGTTAACCGTAGTGTCCTGGCAGCGATTCGCAGCTTCTTGGACGAAGACCACCGGGAATGGGATGCACATCTGCCGGAGATTAAAGTGGCCATCCGGAACGCTGTCCACTCAGCTACAGGAGAAGCGCCGTTCATCACAGTATTCGGCCATCATATGTTCCTCAACGGTTCCACCTAAAAGCTAGCCAAACAACTCCGGTCTCTGTGCAACCACGAGATGGCGGGAATGCAGACCAAGGATAAGCTTCGGGTAATCCACGCCAAGGTTCAGAAGCAGCTGGAGGGTGCGTACGAGATGAGCCGGCAACCCTATGATAAGCGAGCCCGTACGCTACTCGCTAAACCAGGTCAAGAAGTCTTCCGCCGCAACTTCGTGCTGAGTGACTTCAGCAAATCCTTCAATGCGAAATTTGCTCGCAAGTTTCTAAAGGCCAGGGTGGTCAAATCCGTCGGACCTCCAAGGCCGTAGTCTGGGAGTGTATCACGCTAAGGACATCCGGCTGTGATCTGAAAAAAAGACACTCAAAGTATACGAGCATAGCGGCAACATCATCAATACTTCCCGTCATGCGTGGGCCCCGCGTAAGGCGCCGTTCGAACTGCAGGACGATTTTTTTTTTGTTTTAAACCATCCGACCGATGGTTTTTTCTGTTGGTTGCCACAACACTGCCGCATTGACCAGATACTGGTGGTTTGAGAGCGTGTATCGGGTACGCTCACGTAGATACGGCCACTCTGACAATGTGAAATTTGGGGAAACGACAGCCCGGGGTAGCTGTCTAGGTTGGCATGCTACCCTTGTAGCAAAGTTTTTTTTGTTACAATGCTTTTTTTTCCTTTTTTTGTGTTAATTTGTTTTTTTTTTATTTATTATGGTTGTTTTTTTTTTTTTTTTTTTGTTATAATTTTGGTTTTTATTTCATTTTCTCTTCTTTTTTTTAATTGTTTTTTTTTCTAGTAGAAAGCCACAAAAGATGGTTTTCAGCAACACTTCCTGTTAAATGAGCTCGACAGGTTAATTTGTTGGCCAACTGCCGACATACTTGGCCTAAACAACAGTGTTCAGTCCCACGGTACAAAGTTCATCCACACAGCTGATAGCCCTGCCATCTGACTACGAAGGTCAAGATATCTAACAACTCTACAGTACGAGAAGGAGGGGAGAGACGAGGAACACGAGCTTCAGCGACCAGACCAACAGCATTCTTGTCTTTTCCATTGCGAAATATTAAATACTAAATATTAAAGTAAAATCATGAACCAAAGTGAAGTGTAACCGTTATAACCTAATGAATTAAAGATTGAATTGTTATATTTGAACTTCAGTCGTTTTGAACTAATCCCAAGAGCCCCTCTTACTATGACAGCCGTGTATATTAATTTCGGCACGGCGTCACAATCGAACATGGTGGCCCATGAGGGGATTCTTGCTTGAAGTTTAAAATCTCAGTTTGATCTTTCATTTGTTAAATTATAAAACATATCACTTATCCCGCTATCTCACACAAATTGCGATCGTCTCCGTTTGTGTCCCCAACACGTGCTCTCACACCGACAGAGCACATTCATCAATACCAATACACCGGTCGTCTGACAGCGCTCCCACACACACACGCGTGTTCCAAGAGGGTCCGTTATAATTTCGCAACCAAGGCGAAAATCATCCAAAGGGGAATCGAAAACCAGTACAGCCGGCACTCACACTATAGTCGACGTTACGTAAACACAAGTGTAAGCAAAGGGAAAAGATCACGTGAGTACGGGTGCTATTGATTTACCAAGTGAAGCTAGGTTAGGTTAAATATAAATTGGTAACACAAATCTCACAATATGTCTGACACCGATGGCGATGATCCATCATTAGAAGGGTTTGTTACACTCCAAAAGGAGCATCTTCTCAGTCTTACACCTCTGCTACAGAATTACAAGAAGGATTCCGCGTCTCGAAAAACCGAAAGCTATTATGTAAAACGTCTGCAGCAAATCGAGAGTTTAAATTCGGCTTTTGAGACCACCCATCAAGTAATCATCTGCACAGAGGGATACGCCAATTCGGACTATCACGCCAAGAAGATCGCCGTCAGTTTTGAGGATCTGTACATGGAAACCTACTGTCTAGTAGCTGAAGACCAACGAATCAAATTCCCAGTTCTTCCGTCCTCAGCCTCGTCACCACCCGCCGGTTCGACGGTGGCCGACGCACGTGTCCACATGCCACAACTGCCAGTGCCCAAGTTTAGCGGAAACTGCGTTGATTGGCCAGGATATTATGACGCCTTCACTCGGATAATTCATAAAAATGAGCGGCTGGACAATATTCAACGGTTTCATTTTCTCAAAGAATCTCTGCCAGCTGGTCGGGATTGCGATATTCGGCAAATTCCTTTGACGACCGCTAATTATACGGTGGCATGGGACACATTAGTTAAACGTTATAATAATCCACGCGTGGTCTTTTCTAACCACATGAACATGTTGTACCAGTTGCCAAGCCTAACCAAGGAGAAGTCCGATGATATCCGATCCATGATAAGTGCAGTCAACGTCTGCGCAGCCGCCTGTAAGAATATCAACGCATCATTGCAGGACGGTGATCAGTGGCTCGCCCATTTTTTGACATCAAAATTACCGAAAGACACGCACTCCGCCTGGTAGCATCATCTAGGCAGTCAAACCCACATTCCCTCGTAAAAGGATCTTGAACAGTTTCTCAACAACCGCTTAATCACCCTAGACGCCATTGATAACAGAAACTGTTCGGGCACAAGCAAATCTGGATCATCCCAATCAGACACTACCAAACGCAACACGGTTCATAACACCCATGCGCAACCAAGCCCCCCTGTGCTTCGTTGCCCACACTGCGATGGTAATCATATCCTTCGTCGATGTCAGCGATTCCTAAGCATGGATTGCTACCAACGTAAGGAGGTCGTGAGTAAGTCAAACCTATGCCTCAACTGCTTGAGCAAATCGCACATGCTTGCCCGCTGTCCAAGTATAAAGAATTGCTACCACTGTGGACACCGCCACCATTCTTTACTACATCCGGCAGCGGCGCCAAGCATCACTCAAGCACCCCAACCCTACTCCACGACCGTACCATCCCGTCAACCACATATCGCTTCGATTATGAACAACAACACCGTACCAGTTAGCCCCCCTGCTAACCCAAACCTACAATGTTATTCTTCCACAGCCTCCCATGCAACGCGACAGAATATCTTGTTAGCTACCGCACGGATTATTGTCTGCCACCCCCAGAGCGGCGCTCAAGCAACCATAACTGCCCTCATCGACCAGGGGTCGGAAGCTACAATAATCTCAGAGCATGCAGTCCAAGCTCTCCAACTTCCACGATGCCGAATTCGCGCTTCCATCGCCGGTGTCGGCCAAACTCCAGGTAAACGGTGCAACTTTACAACAAGCTGCTGCATCCGAACGTCGCTAAACCCAACGTTCAACCTAAATGTCGACACTGCGTAAGTTTTGAACTCGCTAACCTCACATTTACCAAACCAATCGTTTTCGATTGTGACGCCGTTCCAAAATTAAAATACACGGCTGTCATAGTAAGAGGGGCTCTTGGGATTAGTTCAAAACGACTGAAGTTCAAATATAACAATTCAATCTTTAATTCATTAGGTTATAACGGTTACACTTCACTTTGGTTCATGATTTTACTTTAATATTTAGTATTTAATATTTCGCAATGGAAAAGACAAGAATGCTGTTGGTCTGGTCGCTGAAGCTCGTGTTCCTCCTCTCTCCCCTCCTTCTCGTACTGTAGAGTTGCCAGATGTCTTGACCTTCGTAGTCAGTTGGCAGGGCTATCAGCTGTGTGGATAAACTATGTACCGTGGGACTGAACATGCCGCCCGCCAATGCGAAATCAGCATGATACTTTTGGTTCAGGCTTCTGGATCTAGAGTTCCTTTGGATTCGTAGGTGCTAAGAGAAAGAAAAATTACATACGGATGCAATTGACTACCAAGAGAGAACAAGTGGTTTGTGTTAGCATGAGATTGGGAGGCGACATAATTTGGAGATGGAGCGCGTCTGATTGCCTGATTTGGTTTTTACCGTTACGACTCGAACGAGGGAATCCTCTCCAGGATGTAGACTGGTGATTCTACCGAGCGTCCAATGTGATGGAGGCAGTTGATCGTCTTTGATAAGTACTAATTCGTTGATCTCTAAATTGTCCTTTTCCTGACACCATTTTGGGCGGGTTTGAAGATGGGACAGCCAATCTCGGCTCCATTGTGTCCAAAACTGACGGATCAAATTTTGATGAGATAGAAATTGTTCACGGAACGACGCGTTTTGTGGGCGACAATGGGCAGGTGCGAGCAGTGTGTCGCCGATGAGAAAATGTGCCGGTGTAAGGGCTTCTAAGTCGTCTGGATCGGCGGTAAGCGGGCACAGTGGGCGAGAGTTTAGGCAAGCTTCAATCCTGATGAGCACCGTTGCGAGTTCCTCATAAGTTTGCTTGTGATTGCCGACGATCCTCTTTAGGTGATGCTTGACGGACTTGACACTGGCCTCCCAAAGGCCTCCGAAATTGGGGGAGTATGGTGGAGTGAAATGCCATGTCGGGCAGGTAGCTTGGTCGCGATCAGCTTGTTGTGCGTTTGTTAATAACTTATTGGCGCCAACGAAATTTGTTCCGTTGTCGCTATACATGTGTTGGACTGGTCCTCGGCGACCAGTAAAACGATAAAATGTGAGTAGGAAGTGTTCCGATGAGAGTCCGGTAACTGCTTCCAGGTGGACCGCCTTCGTAGCCAGGCAGACGAAAATCGCGATGTATCCCTTTGATTTCGATTGCCCCGGTATAATCAACGCCGGTCGCAATGAATGGGCGGTTCGGTGGGTTGACCCTGTGTATCGGCAGGTCACCCATTAATTGACTTCCTATGTGAGGTGACACGCGAAAGCATGTGATGCATTTCCGAAGGATGGTCCGGACGGCCTTTCTTCCATTTGGAATCCAGAATTTGTACCTTGTGTGGGCCAGAGTGAGACTAGCGCCACCATGCAGGGTAGCCTGATGTGAGTTCTGAATTACCAATTCTGTAAAGAAATGACGCTGCGGTAAGATGATTGGATGCTTGCGATCGAAAGGAAGACTAGAATGCTTGAGACGACCGCGAACGCGCAAGATGCCGTCGTCAAGAAAGGGAGTAAGATTCCTTAAGATGCTTTTGGAGGGCAAATGATTTTTTATGAGGATCCCGTGGATGTCGGATTGAAAGGTTTCGGCTTGTACGATTTTTACAACGCAGCGAAGTGCGTTATCAAGTTCCACCGTTGACAGCTGATTGTAATATCTGGTTTTCTTCGATTGAGCGTTGTGACAAAAGCGCAGTATGTAAGCGATGACTCGGACGAGTTTGGTGTACGTTGAAAAACGATCAATGATATTACAGTCTACCTGGGTCGGGTGCGAATGGACTCGTATGGGTTTTGCTTCTAGGGACTGCTCATCAAACTTTGTATTTGGTACTTCTGTGTCAGGCCACTCACTGGGAAGTTGACTTAACCATGATGGTCCGCGCCACCAGAGGTCGAAGGTGGAGATTTCTGATGGGGAGAGTCCTCTCGTAGCGCTGTCTGCTGGATTATCCGTTGTGGGAACATGTCTCCATTGGTGCGGATCGCTGTGGTCCAAAATGTAGGCAACACGATTGGCGACGAACGTCTTCCATCTGGTGACATCTCCTTTGATCCAGTGGAGAACGATTGTGGCGTCCGTCCAGTATGTCACTGTGATTTTAGCGTTTTTCCAACGATTGGTCGCTATTACCCACTTGATTAGTTTAGTTGCCAGTACAGCGCCACATAATTCGGTCCTCGGGATAGTGAGCGGTTTCGTTGGAGAAACTTTGGATTTTGCAGTGAGGAGAGTGGTGCAAAATGATGAATCCGGTTGGGGTATGCGTATGTAAACCGCAGCTGCGTATGCGTGAGTGGACCCGTCGCAGAAAGCGTGTAACTGGATATCCTGACTGAAATCTGGCGTATACCGTAGGCTGCGAGGTATTCGGATTTTGCTGATGTCCTCCAGATTGAAACGAAACCTTTTCCATTTGGTAGCGATGGAGGCGGGCACTGGGTCGTCCCATCCTAATAAGTGCGTGTGTTCGTTTTCAGAATATAGATGTGCCATCGTAACTTCTTTTAGAATCAATTTGGCTGAAATGAGAATTGGAGCGATTAGTCCTAAGGGGTCAAAGAGCCTGGCGATGCTTGAAAGAATTTCTCTTTTCGTTGAACCTGTGGGAAGGCTCGCTTGCAGTTTGTAGGTGAAACAGTCTTGGTTCGGTAACTAATGCATGCCTAAGGTTTTGAATGTATCAGAGCTGTCCCAGCTTCGTGAAGTTTGATTGCATCTGTTTGATGGAGGAATGTTGTCCAGGATCATTGTGTCGTTGCTAGCCCATTTTCTCAATTCCATATTGGCGGATTTTAGAGCGTTCTGGGTTTGTAAGCTCTTGTTTTGTGCTGCTGAGATAGTGTGATCACCGGAAAGAATATCGTCGACGTAAATTTCGTGTTGTAAGACCTCTTCTGCCAGTGGATGATTTTCGCGCTCATCTTCTGCAATTTGACGAATTACTCTGATGGCGGTAAATGGTGCCGAAGCGGTACCGAACGTTATAGTTGATAGACAATATTGCTTGATGTTTCCATCCGCCGCCCGCTCTGATACAGTCAAAACCTTAGGCATGCATTGGTTACCGAACCAAGACTGTTTCACCTACAAACTGCAAGCGAGCCTTCCCACAGGTTCAACGAAAAGAGAAATTCTTTCAAGCATCGCCAGGCTCTTTGACCCCTTAGGACTAATCGCTCCAATTCTCATTTCAGCCAAATTGATTCTAAAAGAAGTCACGATGGCACATCTATATTCTGAAAACGAACCAACGCAGTTTTAGGATTGGACGACCCAGTGCCCGCCTCCATCGCTACCAAATGGAAAAGGTTTCGTTTCAATCTGGAGGACATCAGCAAAATCCGAATACCTCGCAGCCTACGGTATACGCCAGATTTCAGTCAGGATATCCAGTTACACGCTTTCTGCGACGGGTGCACTCACGCATACGCAGCTGCGGTTTACATACGCATACCCCAACCGGATTCATCATTTTGCACCACTCTCCTCACTGCAAAATCCAAAGTTTCTCCAACGAAACCGCTCACTATCCCGAGGACCGAATTATGTGGCGCTGTACTGGCAACTAAACTAATCAAGTGGGTAATAGCGACCAATCGTTGGAAAAACGCTAAAATCATAGTGACATACTGGACGGACGACACAATCGTTCTCCACTGGATCAAAGGAGATGTCACCAGATGGAAGACGTTCGTTGCCAATCGTGTTGCCTACATTTTGGACCACAGCGATCCGCACCAATGGAGACATGTTCCCACAACGGATAATCCAGCAGACAGCGCTACGAGAGGACTCTCCCCATCAGAAATCTCCACCTTCGACCTCTGGTGGCGCGGACCATCATGGTTAAGTCAACTTCCCAGTGAGTGGCCTGACACAGAAGTACCAAATACAAAGTTTGATGAGCAGTCCCTAGAAGCAAAATCCATACGAGTCCATTCGCACCCGATCCGTACACCAAACTCGTCCGAGTCATCGCATACATACTGCGCTTTTGTCACAAAGCTCAATCGAAGAAAACCAGATATTACAATCAGCTGTCAACGGTGGAACTTGATAACGCACTTCGCTGCGTTGTAAAAATCGTACAAGCCGAAACCTTTCAATCCGACATCCACGGGATCCTCACAAAAAATCATTTGCCCTCCAAAAGCATCTTAAGGAATCTTACTCCCTTTCTTGACGACGGCATCTTGCGCGTTCGCGGTCGTCTCAAGCATTCTAGTCTTCCTTTTGATCGCAAGCATCCAATCATCTTACCGCAGCTTCATTTCTTTACAGAATTGGTAATTCAGAACTCACATCAGGCTACCCTGCATGGTGGCGCTAGTCTCACTCTGGCCCACACAATGTACAAATTCTGGATTCCAAATGGAAGAAAGGCCGTCCGGACCATCCTTCGGAAATGCATCACATGCTTTCGCGTGTCACCTCACATAGGAAGTCAATTAATGGGTGACCTGCCGATACACAGGGTCAACCCACCGAACCGCCCATTCATTGCGACCGGCGTTGATTATACCGGGGCAATCGAAATCAAAGCGGCACGGCTTCGTAGGACAAGTACCTACAAGGGATATATCGCGATTTTCGTCTGCCTGGCTACGAAGGCGGACCACCTGGAAGCAGTTACCGGACTCTCATCGGAACACTTCCTACTCGCATTTTATCGTTTTACTGTTCGCCGAGGACCAGTCCAACACATGTATAGCGACAACGGAACAAATTTCGTTGGCGCCAATAAGTTATTAACAAACGCACAACAAGCTGATCGCGACCAAGCTACCTGCCCGACATGGCATTTCACTCCACCATACTCCCCCAATTTCGGAGGCCTTTGGGAGGCCAGTGTCAAGTCCGTCAAGCATCACCTAAAGAGGATCGTCGGCAATCACAAGCAAACTTATGAGGAACTCGCAACGGTGCTCATCAGGATTGAAGCTTGCCTAAACTCTCGCCCACTGTGCCCGCTTACCGCCGATCCAGACGACTTAGAAGCCCTTACACCGGCACATTTTCTCATCGGCGACACACTGCTCGCACCTGCCCATTGTCGCCCACAAAACGCGTCGTTCCGTGAACAATTTCTATCTCATCAAAATTTGATTCGTCAGTTTTGGACACAATGGAGCCGAGATTGGCTGTCCCATCTTCAAACCCGCCCAAAATGGTGTCAGGAAAAGGACAATTTAGAGATCAACGAATTAGTACTTATCAAAGACGATCAACTGCCTCCATCACATTGGACGCTCGGTAGAATCACCAGTCTACATCCTGGAGAGGATTCCCTCGTTCGAGTCGTAACGGTAAAAACCAAATCAGGCAGTCAGACGCGCTCCATCTCCAAATTATGTCGCCTCCCAATCTCATGCTAACACGAACCACCTGCTTCTCTCTTGGTAGTCAATTGCATCCGTATGTCATTTTTCTTTCTCTTAGCAGCTACGAATCCAAAGGAACTCTAGATCCAGAAGCCTGAACCAAAAGTATCATGCTGATTTCGCATTGGCGGGCGGCATGTTCAGTCCCACGGTACATAGTTTATCCACACAGCTGATAGCCCTGCCAACTGACTACGAAGGTCAAGACATCTGGCAACTCTACAGTACGAGAAGGAGGGGAGAGACGAGGAACACGAGCTTCAGCGACCAGACCAACAGCATTCATGTCTTTTCCATTGCGAAATATTAAATACTCAATATTAAAGTAAAATCATGAATCAAAGTGAAGTGTAACCGTTATAACCTAATGAATTAAAGATTGAATTGTTATATTTGAACTTCAGTCGTTTTGAACTAATCCCAAGAGCCCCTCTTACTATGACAGCCGTGTACATTAATTTCGGCAGGGCGTCACAATCGAACAAACAGGAAAATTGAACTCTACAGCAGCGGTCGGCAGCGCCCTATTAAGTGAGCATAGGGTTTTGTTCTGCCCAGCCGCTGCTTGCTCACGGATACTGTAGAACAGCGGTCTGCACACACACTCTGATGATCTGCCCAGTGCAGTTTACTCATACAAATATTAAAGAAAATGTTATTGTATGGCACATATACCGCTACAGTGATTAATAAAAGTAAAACTAGAAATTTAGATTGGCATTGTTTATAAAAACTATCAACTCCCTCATGTGGAGTGGTTCTTTGACTTGAAAAAATTGATTCAAGTTCCTATAGTACCTAAAGATTTTTTTTTTTTTTTGAGGGTGGTATATATAGGTATATTTTTTAGGAAAGACGTTTATAAGATTTGTTCCTTTGTTTGTGCATTTTATCTTGTAATCCTCGTTCCATTGTTCCTCTATTCGCTTTTTAATATTCCTCAGAGCTTCTTTGGTACTTAGTTTTATATCTACCACTTCTCCTTACCTAACAGCTAACTTAGCTAGCCTATCAGTCTTTTCCTTTAACGGAATACCCTTGTGCCCTGGTATCCAAATTACGTCAAGTTTTTGTACGTCTGATTTTTCAATTATATTGTGTATTTCGTGTACTAGGTACGAGTCAGATTTTTTGTTTTTAACTAAACTAATTCCTCCTACGCTATCACAGAATATCACAGCGTGTTTGTATTTATTGCTTTGGCACATAATGCATGCCATTTTGATCCCAGCTAGCTCTGCTCCTACAGATGAGAGAGAAGCGTTTATTTTAAATTTGTGTGATTTGTTACTGGGTAATTCCATGATTCCTATTCCTATAGCCTCTGTGTTTATGGACGCATCGGTGGATATGGTGCTCCATCCCTTATCCAAGTATCTGTTTATTTCTTCACTTTAGATTGCATTTGCTTCCTCAGTCGAGTAGTCCACCTTACTTTTTGCCAGAAGATTGTCTTGGATGCTTATCTTGTTTGATACAAAGAAAAAGTCCCTAGTTTTAGTATTGTCAAAGAAAAACCTAAAATCCCTTATTGTGCTTGTATAGCTTGTTTCTGCTGGTGAATTTTTGAGTTGACTAAAGAGAGATGGGTTCATTGCCTTGACTTTGAAAAGCTCTTTGGCGGTGAGCCATTTGGCTCTGAAAACAGGCGGCATTACACCAGCCAACACGAAAATTTCGTGTTTGCTGGTGGGCGGTGGAACACCTTCTCAGGGACTTGGCTTGCGCAATTTCAAAGTTCTTGCTTGCCCCACTGCCCATATCGGCTAGGCTGGTTATGGCATATTCTTGCTTGGACCTCACAAAGGACTTGAAAATGTTGGTGCTTACTTTGGGCTTTAGACCAGATTTAATGGTTGTTGCACATTGTAGAATCTTCACACTGACTTTGGTTTCTGTTTTAATTTTTTTGATCTGATCTGTACAGGACATATTTGCGCTTAGGATGCGACCTAGAAAGTTGACTTTTTTTGATTTGGCATCGCGACATTTTCAATGATTATTTTTGCTTTTTTTGTTAACAACCGTCGATTTGGCCGGATTAAAGGCAGTTTGGTTTGCAAGTTTACTGTGGTATTGAAATCATGCCCAGACGAGGTGATGACAAAGTCA